AGCTCATCCCGCACGTGCTGGTGTACAATGCGTGGCCAGCGGCATTTCCTGAGGGAGCTCCGCGCCTTGCCGCTGAGGAGCTCGTTCCCGATGACGATCAAGCCCGCCGTGCGGGGCGGCGTGATCTTCAGGGAGCTTTTGAACCTGCGCGCCGAAAGGGCGGGCACCGGGCCTTCGGCTGTCCCCGGAATGTTGAACATGCTTCGGCGGCGAGCCCTGGAGGGAAGCGAGACGGAGCGGGCCTTATCAGAAGGCTCGGCAGACCCCTGGCCTTGTGAGAAGCCTTCTGACCTTCAGAAACTGGCCGCCGAGTGGCCTCCCGAGAAGCGAGCCGAAGAAGCAAGCAACCTCGCAGAGGGCGCGAGGCCTTCTCAGAAATCCCGCCGCCCTCTGAAGAGGCCTTGTCTTTCTGACTTCCCTCCTCGCTCACCGCAAAGGATGGATTGGTGGGGACATTTGTTTTGGATCGCGAGCGCATCGGAAGAGGCCGGGCGCCGTCACAACGACGGGCGGGGATACTTTTTGATCGCGGGCGCAGCGGAGGAGCCGAGCACCGTCAGACAGTCGGAGCAGCCAAGCTGAGCGGACTAGATTAGGCCACGAGCGCGCAGGGACTGGTGGTGATATTTGTTTGATCGCGACCGTAGCGGCAATTCGCTCGGCGTCAAGCCGAAGGGCAGCTAGCGAGCAGCGGACTAAAGTAGGCGCTGAGCGCGCAAGAGCGAACTACGCTGCGGCTCAGAAGGCGAAACCGACGCTGAATAACAGGTTGGACACGCCGAAGCCGACGAAGACCACGGTGCTGGCCTCGATGCAACCACAATTTTACTGATGGGGATACACGACGCGTCAAGAGTTTGCCCCCCCGCCCGCTCTTCCCCTCCGCGCCGCCCTGCCCCTCTTTCCATTGCCTCTTGCAGTGCACAACTCACTGCCCAACTCCTCCTCCTCCTCCTCCTCCTCCTCCTCCTCCCCCTCCTCCTCCTTCTCCTCCTCCTCCTCCTCCGCTCCTCCTCCACCTCCTCCTTCTCTACCTTCTCCTCCTCCTCCTCCTTCTCTTCCTTCTCCTCCTCCTCGCCGCCGAATCTGGGTGTCCTCCTCGCGCAGAGCTCCTCATCCTGGCCCTGCCGAGCAGTTTTCCAGCGCTCCTGGACGACCGCCTGTAAATAGACTGCTTCACACGCCCCAGGCCCCTTTGGCTGGTTGCCATGTGCCCTCCTTCGCCATTGTTTCACTTAGATCGGACATGTCCTCACACAGGCGGATTTGGGACGAAAATCCAAAAAGAGTAAAACAGATGTCCACATCTCATCGAATCATCCCCAGATTGACTTTTGAATACTCTTGAACAGTCCACCTGTAGAGGGACATGCCCGACCCTCCTCGCTTGCCGCCGACTGCTTGCGCGGGCGTAGCACGTCTCGACGTCGGCGCGGGACGCGGACCGCGGGAGCGGGGGGAGACGCGCGGGGGTCTGGGCTATGCCTGGGATCCGGCCCCAACATCGGCGCGTTCCCCCGCACACAACACGCCGACCACGCCACCCACTATACAATTTCAATCGCTCGACCTCCTCCTCCTCCTCCTCCTCCTCCTCCTCCTCCTCCTCCTCCTCCTCCTCCTCCTCCTCCTCCCTCTTTCCTCCTCCTCCTCCTCCTCCTCCTCCTCCCTTCCACCAACGCTCGCGCGGCGGAACAACAGCGTGTATGACGCCAGAGGACATGGGGCCATTACGCCGCGGCTCACGCGGACCTCAGCGTGGCGCGCCACAGAAGTAGCGAGGGCGCCGACGCGCGACGGTGCGCCTCGCGGACATCGGACATCGGATCTGGAACGGGACTGCGTGTTTCCATCATTCGGGTCGGGCGAAAGGGGGGGATAGCAAAGGGGGGGTTTGAGAATCAGCTCACAAATCAGCTGCATGCAGCAAATTTCGTAACCCCCCCTTTCCCAATCCCCCCCTTTCGCCCGACCCGAATCATGTCTGGTGACGGTCGTCCCCTGGGGGGGGGGGGCGGCTGTTTGGGCCCCGGCTGCCCGTGAGGCTTGGGCGGGGCGGGGCGCATCGGGGCGAGGGTGCTCTGCAATCGCAGCAATACGCGCGCGTTCACCATTACCGGGGGGGGGAGGTCCAAACCCCCCACTGCACGTAAGATCGTTACCAATACCCCAGGAAGGGGGGGCTGGGTAATGACCGTTGCGCGCCAAAGGATAACAACAACCATCTCCAGCTGCCGCCGGCACGAGAGAGAAACGTGCGAGCTGCAGGAGAAGGCATCAACAAAGGCATGAACCCGTGCACAAGGAGCAAAAGAAGGAACGACTGTTTTTTTTGAATCGGCGAATCTGGGTTATCGGGGGGGGCGGGAAGGAGAGGGCAGGCCCACAACCTAACCTTCGCGCCGTGGACAGCCATGCATATGCCCGCGCCCCCACACCCCGGACCTGCACAACCAGCAAGGTTAGGTTAATTATCCTGGGGGGGTGCAAGGGTGGCAAGCCCGATAACCTGGGTGATCGCCGAACCCTAACAAAACAGTCTCCAGGGAACAGAAGAAGGAGCAACTGACATTCGTGGCCCGCGATGCACTGCACTTCGGCGGCGCGCTGGGGGGGGGAAGCGAGAGGGGGCAGGCCCTCTCAGCAGGCGGCGGGGACTCTCGGAAGCCCCTGAACCTTCTGGGAAGTCCTCTCTGGCTCTGTAGACAAAAGCTTCTCAGAAGCTTCTGCGCCCGCTGAGGAGGCGCGCCTCCTCTGCCTACCCCCCTGAGCGCGCCGCCGGACGATGGAATGCCTGGGGCCCGCCACGCGGGCTCTGATCGGTTCCATCTGCTGCCATGCGGCGCGCTCCCTGCAGCCCTGAACCCCCAAGAACTAGCACCACTCTGAAGGAGGCGTAGCTTGCCGCCGCCTGCTTTCGTCAGCTTTGCGCAGGCCTCCTCTGGCGGAGCGGCTCTAGATCTGTTTCCGTTGCCCCCCCGCCGGAGAAGAGAAGTCAATCCAATCGATCCCTAAGAGACGCTTCTGGGGCCCCACTTGTGGAGAATCCGTCGACCCTGCCGGCCTGTGCGACAAAAAAGAAATTCCTTCGAATGCTTTTACTCTATTCTCCGTGGCCGTCGTAAACAACCGCATACAACCGTCAGATACGCCAGCACAAGGAGAAACAAAACAGAGCAGCACCAGAATCGAAGCAAAAACTAGAGGCCCGTCCTAGTGACGCCTTCCTCCTCCTCCCCCTCCTCCTCCTCCTCCTCCTCCTCCTCCTCTTCTCCCCTTCTCCGTCCTCCTCTCTCCGTCCCTGTCATCCTCCCCTGTTCCCTCTGATTCTGGTCCTCTCTCCTCCCTCCTCCCTCCTCCCCCTCCGCCTCCGCCGACCGGGGGCCTGGTGTCAGCGTGGGCACTTCTCCCCAAGACGACCTCACAATTGGCAAGGAGGGCCCGAAGTGGCCACCGCGACGACCCTTGGGACCATGCGAACACAGTGGGGACCCCTGCATCGCAAGACGAGGGGAAACCGCGCAGGGCCCTCCAAGACGGCAAAACGGGCACGTCCAGAGGACGAATCACTCTCTACAACGCGCTCTGCTCCAGTGCTGGTGCTGTTCCCGGGTGTCCGGCCGACCCTAGGCGCGGGAACGCCCGCAGCGTGGGCGAGAAGACGGCGGCGGCCGCGTCGAGCTGCTCCGCGTTCTGCGCCTGCTTGGCGCTGCTGCTGGCGGAGGCCTCGGGGCGGACCGCGGGCCACCCTCGCCTCGCCACCCCTTCTCCCCTTGCCCCAGCGCCTGCTACTGTTCTTCGCGCCCCTCCTCCTCCTCCGCCTCCTCCTCCCCCACCTCCTCATCCTCCCCCACCTCCTCCTCCTCCTCCTCCTCCTCCTCCTCCTCCTCCTCCTCATCCTCCTCGTCCTCATCCTCCTCGCTCTCCTTTCGTCATCATCTTGTTCCTCGTTTTCCTCCTCCTACCCATCCTCCTGTTCATCCGCAACCTCCTCCTCCAACTCTTTGCATGCAGCTCCGACTTCCCAGTTGCCCACCGAAATATGTGAGCCAGGTGGGCCCTAAAGTGTGACGTATTGCGCTGTGGAGGTGGCAGCTCTGCGGCGTAACTTATGTGGTGTGAGCTATGTTGTGTAAGCTATGCGGTGCGAACTGTGGAGGTGAAAACGATGGGGTGTCATCCACCTTGTAGTACCCGAGCTCATACACTCCACTGCTCGCAAAAACGCCCCACTCACAATTTGTCCGGGAAAACCCATGCGGCCACCATTACGGTCATTACTATGAGTCATTACGGGTACTGATTGGCACTTGCTGGTGCGTCTCTACGGTCGCGGTTGCGCGGGTACGCTTGCGCACAGGGCGGCCAGCTGGCTTGGCACAACTGATGCGGCCGCGACGGCGCTTGCCGATGGCAACTTCTCGGGGCAACTCCAAGGGAAGCGCTGGCGCGCGGGCACTCCAGTGCGGGTCGGTGAGTCGGGCGAGCGCGATACCATGATGACGTCGACGGGGCGGCACCGATGATGCTACGAGCAGCACCTGCTCTGAGGCGACTGATCGGGAGCTTCTGTATATATGTGATCCCGGGCTCCGGCCCCCCCCCCAGATGGGATGGGTCTCAGGGTCCCTCGGCCCTCCCCCCCCACCTGATGGGATGGGGGGGACGACGACGACGCCGGCGACGACGACGACGACGACGCCGACTGCGACGACGGCGACGACGACGACGACGGCGACGGCGACGGCGGCGGTGACGACGACGAGGACGGAGAAAACGACGGCGACGACGACGACGACGGCAAGCGCGCGCGGGAGGCGGTGGTGCGGCGGGTGAGGATGAGGAGGATGAGGATCAGCATGGTGAGGTTCGCGAGGGGAGGAACAGGAGGGCGAGTCCCGCGGCTCAGGAGCAGGCGAGCGTGGAGCAGGAGAATGAAGATCGGCAAAGGGTGAGGATGGGGCAAGTTTGGAGCAGGCAGAGTGAGCATCACGAGGAGAGCGAGGATCAGGATAATGAGAATGAGCACGAGGAGGGTTGATGAAGCTGAGGCTCAGCATCGTGAGGCACGAGGGTGAGGGCAAGGAGAGCGAGAATCAGGAGAGCGAGGATCGGGAGGATGAGCCCATCCCGTCCGAGTAGATGGGGTCGGAGGATCGCGCCGCATCGCCGATGCCTCGCCGATGCATCGCCGATCCTCCGACCCCGTCTACTCGGACCCCGTCCAGGAGGCCTAGATTTGGCCTACCCCCTCCCCTACCGTCCGCCCGATCCCCTGCGTCGCTCAAACAAGGCCCCCCTGGGGTGCCGCCTGCGCCTTGGCCCCCCTGCCCGAGCGCTCCAGCGTGCCGTCCACCAGCTCGTGCGCCGGGGCGTAGGAGCCGTCGGACCGCAGCCTCGGCACGGCCGCCCCCGGCGCTGCGCCGTGGGCCCCGGCGCCTCCGAGGCGCTCCTCGATCTCTCCCCGGCCTTCCCGATCCTAGGCCTCCTCCTCCTCCTCGATCCTCCTCCTCCTCCTCCTCGATCCTCGATCCTCCGTTTCCTCCTCGCCCCTCGATCCTCGGCCCTCGGTCCTCGGTGCGCTTCTCCGCGGCCCCCCCGCTCCTCGACCCTCGGTCTTTTGTTTCCTCCCCGACACCTCCAGCCTCTTCGATCCCTGGTCCCCTCGGTCCTCGATGCTCGGTCGCCTCGATCCTCGATCTCTGCCCCGGCCTCCACGATCATCGGTCTCCTCGCTCGCCCTCTCCTCTCTGCTGTCTTCTTTTCTCCTCCTCCTCCCTCCACTCCGAAGCTCGCTGCTTGCCATTAGGCCCGCAGAGACTGTACACCTTTTGAAGGAAGCGCCATCTTCCAGCATCCCTCCTCCCATACACCTCCACTCATTCTTGCCTCGAACTTGCCTCCTGTCTTGTCATCCTACCTCTTCAACCACCCAGACATTCCAGACATCCGATGCCTGGATGGTTGCAATACAGGGGGCTGGTTTCGCTGGCGATGGCTTCGCCTGCGCTGGTTTCGCCGTGCTGGTTTCGTCGGCGGCCGGTTTCGCCGGGGCCGGTTTCGCCGACGGCAGGCTTCGACGGGGCTGGTTTCGCAGACGGCTGGTTTCGCCGGGTCGTTGGTATGCGTCGTCGTCATCGTCGTTACCTTCGTCGTCGTTGTCGTCGTCCTCGCCGTCGTCGTCCACGTCGTCGTCGTCGTCGTCGTCGTCGTCGTCGTCGTCGTCGTCGTCGTCGTCGTCTTCGTCGTCGTCGTCGTCGTCGTCGTCAACGTCGTCGTCCTCGTCGTCGTCGTCGTCGTCAACATCGTCATCGCCGTCGTCGGGCGGGCCCCGAACGGGCGGGACCCTAATTGGCGGGCCAGGTGGCCAGGAAAAAACAAGGACGGTCGGGCGGAACCCCAACGACAAGTCGGGCGGGCGGGACCAACACGGGACGGTCGGGCGTGGCGGGACCCTAACAGGGGGGGTCGGGCGGGCAGGGCCCTAATGGGCGGGGCGCGTCGGGCGGGCGGGGCCCTAGCGAGGGGGTCGGGCGGGACATTGCAGCGAGCGGGGGAGCCTGTCAGCACGCGAGCGCACTGGACCCAAACGGGCGGGTCGGACGGGCGGGACCCTAACAGACGGGTCGGGCGGGCGGGACCCTAGCGGGCGGGTCGAGCGGGTGGGACCCTCACGGGAGGGTCGGGCGGGCGGGACATTAAAGCGAGCGGGGGTGGCTTGCCAGCGCGCGAGCGTGCTGGACCCGGGCGACGACGACGACGACCACCACCACCACCACAACCACCAGCACCACGACCACCACGAAGTCGACGATGACGACGGTGATGACAAGCGGGTCGGCGAAACCAATCGCCGAGTCGGCGAAACCAAACGGGCGAAACCAACGTCGGCGAAACTAGCCGGCGGCGAAACCAGCCGGGCGAAAGCAGCGGGTGGGTCGGCGAAACCAGCCGGACGAAGTCAGCGTCGGAGAAACCAGCCGTCGGCGAAACCAGCCGGGCCAAACCAGCCGTCAGCGAAACCAGCCGCCGCCAAAAACCCGACCCTTTTCCCAGGGCCTCTTTTCATCCCAGGCCGTTGTTGGACGCCCCCTGGGCCCAACGAGGGCCCCCTGAGGCGACAGATGCCAAGAACCTTCCGTCGAGATGTTTGGTCACGACGCGAACATGTCTGTGACTGCGTGCCAGACCACCCCAACCGGTCCCGAAGACCCAACATGTCGGGTGGGGGGGGGCGCGCGGGTTCCACGCGTGTATTTGTCCATGCTCCCCGGCGCGCCGGGCGGGCACTGGGAATGGAGGGCGGCTTGGGGCCTTCGGATTGGGTTGGGGTGGTTCGGTGGGTGGTGAATCTGGGGCACGAAAGCCCAGAATCGAATCGACGAGCCGGACCGGCAATCGAAATGGGTCGGGTCGGCGGAAATCGGCAGCCGAGCCGGGAAAAACCGAATCGGCGGAACTCGGCAGGCTAGTAGATCTCCATGAAAAATTCGAGCCCTGATCGGAATCCGAAACCGAGTCGGATCGGAATCGGGTGCATTCGAAATCGATCGAGCCGGACCGGAGGAATCGACACGAACCCTGGTCTGGTCGGCGGTGAGTCTGGGGACGGGCCACTGCTCGGGTCAGCGGCAGCCGCGGGGGGCGATGCGGGCAGCCGGGGGCGCCCACGCGGCGGGGCGCAGCCGCCCCAGAATTCGGTCGGGCATGTCCCCCGCGCTCCAGAAACTCGCGCGAGGGCGGCCGCAGGATCCGCATGTTCCGCATGCACGCGGCGCGGGAGAACATGGCGCAGAGGTGCAGCCACCGCTGCTCGTCCGACATGCCCGCGCGGCCAGCGTCCTCGTCCCTCGCGCAGTCGATGGTGACGCCCTTGCGCAGCGTCTGGCCCTGCGGCAGCGTGGAGGTCAAGTGGGGCGCGTGCGTCAGGGTGACCCCCGAGCGGCGCGCAGTGTGCATCCCCGAGCGCTGCCGCGTGAACTCCTGCTCGCCGGGCCTGAACATGAGCAAGCTCCTCGCCCGCGCCTCGTCCTCGCCATCGTCGTCGGTGCCATCGGCGCCATGTCGCAGCAGTTCGGCGACCTCCTGGTAGATCGGAGACCCTTTGAAGCCGGGGACCTGCAGTCATATCCCCTGCGGTAGGTAGCGGGAGCGAAAGAGCTGGCCCTGCGCGCGCTTCTCGTAGTCGCGCTCGTCGTCTGCGTGAAACTCGAAGGATACGATAGTGGCCCGTTGCTCCTGCACGAGCCCCTTACTTGTTCTTCAGCTCCTCCTGCGCGGCCGTAAACCGAACCTCCATGCCGACGTGCGCCGGTAAGACGCAATGGATGTCCCCCGTCTTGTGCATGTTCGGGGCACTCAGGAAGTCCCATGCTGTAGCCGAACAGAAAATTCTCGTGCTGGTGCCTAGGGTCCAGGAGGCCCCCCGTTGTCCGAGGCCACCTCGGAACTTACAGGGTTCCGATGACCCGCTCGGACTAGCAACGTGAAAAGCGGAACCCATAGGCAGAAGGCTCTCGATTGAGGCTTCCGCGCAAATCGCTCACAGACGAGGCTCCCGCCGAGACTTCCTCGATATTCAGGCCCGGGGGCCCGAATGTGACGACAATTATATGTTTTCGGATGGCCCGCCTCGGATGACCAGCGTGAAGCGCGAGCCCCACATTGAGGGCCTCCCGCCGCAGACTTTCTCGCAATGCGCTCACAGGCGAGGCTCCCGCTTGATACTTCCTCCAGATTCACGCCTCAGGAGCCCCAGAGCGACGACAGATACACGTTTCAGATGACCCGCCTCGGATTCGAACATGAAGTGCGGGCCCCATAGGTAGGGCTCCCGCCCAAGACTTCTTAACACTTCACTCACAGACGAGGCTCCCACTGGATACTTCCTACCCACGCCTCAGGAGCCCCAAAGCGACGACAGTTACACTTTTCCGATGACGCTCCTCGGATTCAAACATGAAGTGCGGGCCCAATTAGGGACGGGCTTTCCGCCTGAGCCTTCCTCGCAATTCACTCACACACGAGGCTCCCGCTTGATAATTCCATCAGATTCACGCCTCAGGAGCCCCAAGGCGACGACAACTACACGTTTTGGATGACCCGCTCGAATTCGGAACATGAAAAACGGGGCGCCATGAAGAAGGGGCTCCCGCCTGAGACTTCCGCGCGATTCACTCACAGACGAGGCTCTCTTTTGGTCGGTGATCATGATGGGATGGTGACGATGACGATGCTGATGGGATGATGACGATGGTGTGCGATGATGATATATGGTTGATGATGATGATGATGATGATGATGATGATGATGGTGATGATGATGATGGTGATGAGGGTGATCGTAATGAGGATGAGTGTTGATGACGATTGTGATGCTGATTATGATGATGATGAGTGGGTGGGTGACTGATCGAGCGATGATGGTAATGATGATCAGGACGCTGATGATGAGTGATGATGCTTGACGATGGTGCTGGCGACAGAGAGGAATAGAGAGAGAGGGGGTGTGGGAGGACTGCGCGGGGCGTCCAGAGAAAACAAGAACCCCACTCAGGATGTTGGGACACAAAAATCAGCCCCAGACAATATAGACTAATTTCGAATTGTCCTCCTGTAGGAGGGACAGGCCCGACTTAACCCTAGAACCCATCCCGAGGCAGGAACAGCTCCAAGAGCCGACAAAGGCGCCAGAAAACCTCGAGGGGCTTCCACCGTCCTGTGCCCCAAGCCTGCCTCCTCTCCCCCCAAGGACGGCCCAAAATCGACTCGGAAATCGCATCGAATCGGCGGGAATCGGCAGGCAGATCGCAGATCGCATCGGAATCGACGTCCGCCAGCCGACGACGAGGCCTGCGCGAAGAACTCCAAGCTCAAGGTGGAATCCAGAATCGGATGGAACCGACATATGAATCCTCTACCCTCGGCCTGCACTCTCCATACCTTCCGCGCGACGGGTGCCGCCGCGATGCGGCCGCCGCTGCGGCGCGGCACCTGCCGCGCGGAAGGTGCGGAGACTGCAGGCCGACGGCACACCGAGTCGATTCGGGCCAACAGAGTCGAGAGGGCTCCCGCGACCCTCTGCCTCCTCGCCCCCCGCCCTCCCCCTCGGCGCGGCCCCGGCGCGCCAGAACCAGCCCGCCGAGGCGACGGGGGCGGCCCGGGCGCCGGAGGACCGGAGCGTCTGGGAGCGTCTGCGGGCCCCACTGTTTCCCACGCCGTGCCTGCAGGCTTACGCGTGGCCGACGCTGGCAGGCAGACGGGCCACAGGAGGGGCAGGAGGAGATCGAAGAGCCAGCTGCCAGGTGCCCGGTCACTGAGACCGAGGGGGTCCGAGGGTGGCGGAGGAGGAGGAGGAGGAGGAGGAGGAGGAGGAGGAGGAGGAGGAGGAGGAGGAGGGAGAGGAGGAGGAGGAGGAGGAGGAGGAGGAGGAGGAGGAGGAGGAGGAGGAGGGGGGCCTCCCAGAAGGGCCCAGGGGTCTCCAGGGAGTCTCCGGCGCGGAGGCGTGAGGGCGTCGGCGGAGCACCCTGCCTGCTCGGCAGGCCGCCCCTCCCGCGCCACCTCCCCCAGCTGTGCGCCGACGGGAGGGAGAGGGGCCCAGCAACCCACTGAGGCCCAAGGCGGCCCCGTGAGGGTGCCCCCAAGGCGGCGCCAGAGGCCTCCGAGGCAGCCCGAAGACATCCCGAGAGGGCCCCGAGACACCCCACTCGAGGCTCTCAAGACGGCCTCCGAGGGCCAAGCGACTTCTTGTAGGCGCCCAGTGGCCCCCAAAAAAGGCCCCATGACGAGCCCAAGAAGCCGTCAGAGGCACCCGAAAGCCCCCAAGGCAATCCTCAGAGGCCCCAAGGCGCCTCCGCCTCCTCCTCCATTCCTTTCCTTATACATAACTTCTCCCTGTCGCACCCCGAGACAAGTTTTTTGAGGGAGGTCTGGGCGTTTCGCCTGCATGACCCTGGAGCATAAACATTATCAACGTTTGCAAGATGTGGCTCTCGCCTGAGCGCCGCTCACATTTGTTCTAACAAACTGTAGCAATTTCACGGAGTGATGACGGGTCGTTTTCAAAATGTGGCTCTCGCCTTGGCGCCGCGCACATTAGTTAAATTCGCCGGCCCAACGGGCCAGAGGCGTGCTAAGATCTCCGGTAACTGCTCAACAATATTTCTAGTTCGCGCGCGCGGGGCGGGCCCTGGGGGTCCCCGGACGAAAAGTACCCCGGCAAGGTCCCGGCAAGGTCCCGGCAAAGTCCCTTTTTCGGAGCCCAGGAGGGCTCCGAAACGGTCCAAAAGGGGCCCGAGAAGCCCTCCAGACGGTCCAAGAGAGCCGGGAGACGCCGAAATATCACTCCCAAACGCCTGCGATGGCCTCAAGACGGCCCAACAGGCCTTCAAGACGTCCCAAGAGGTCCCTAAGCGGCGCCCCAAGAGGGCTCCCACTAGCAAAAATCGTCCCATTCCCTTAGGAAAACGTGCATGTTTAACATATCCGCCTCTTCGTCTTTCACACCTTTCAAGGCGGTCCAAGAGTCACCCCAAGACGGCCCGAGAGACCCTCAAGACCGCTCAAAGACGGCCCAAGAGCGCTCCAAGAAGGCCCAAGAAACCCTCAAGAACTCTTTTTCGGAGCCCAGGAGGGCTCCAAATCGGTCCAAGAGGGGCCCGAGAAGCCCTCCAGACGGTCCAAGAGAGCCGGGAGACGCCGAAATATCACCCCCAAACGCCTACGATGGCCTCAAGACGGCCCAACAGGCCTTCAAGACGCCCCAAGAGGTCCCTAAGAGGTCCCTAAGCGGCGTCCCAAGAGGGCTCCCACTAGCAAAAATCGTCCCATTCCCTTAAGAAAACGTACATGTTTAACATATCCGCCTCTTCGTCTTTCACACCTTTCAAGGCGGTCCAAGAGGCCCCCAAGATCACCCCAAGACGGCCCGAGAGACCCTCTGGACCGCTCAAAGACGGCCCAAGAGCGCTCCAAGAAGGCCCAAGAAACACTCAAGAACTCTTTTTCGGAGCCCAGGAGGGCTCCAAATCGGTCCGAGAGGGGCCCGAGAAGCCCTCCAGACGGTCCAAGAGAGCCGGGAGACGCCGAAATATCACCCCCAAGCGCCTACGATGGCCTCAAGACGGCCCAACAGGCCTTCAAGACGCCCCAAGAGGTCCCTAAGCGGCGTCCCAAGAGGGCTCCCACAAGCAAAAATCGTCTCATTCCCTTAGGAAAACGTGCATTTTTAACATATCCGCCTCTTCGTCTTTCACACCTTTCAAGGCGGTCCAAGAGGCCCCCAAGATCACCCCAAGACGGCCCGAGAGACCCTCTAGACCGCTCAAAGACGGCCCAAGAGCGCTCCAAGAAGGCCCAAGAAACCCTCAAGAACTCTTTTTCGGAGCCCAGGAGGGCTCCAAATCGGTCCGAGAGGGGCCCGAGAAGCCCTCCAGACGGTCCAAGAGAGCCGGGAGACGCCGAAATATCACCCCCAAGCGCCTACGATGGCCTCAAGACGGCCCAACAGGCCTTCAAGACGCCCCAAGAGGTCCCTAAGCGGCGCCCCAAGAGGGCTCCCACAAGCAAAAATCGTCTCATTCCCTTAGGAAAGCGTGCATTTTTAACATATCCGCCTCTTCGTCTTTCACACCTTTCAAGGCGGTCCAAGAGGCCCCCAAGATCACCCCAAGACGGCCCGAGAGACCCTCTAGACCGCTCAAAGACGGCCCAAGAGCGCTCCAAGAAGGCCCAAGAAACCCTCAAGACGGTCCAAGAGGCCCCAAGACGGCCCCATGATTGAGGTCCACAGGGGCAACCTGAACGGAAATTTTGAGCCTCCCGCCCAAACACGCCCCCGAAATGCCCCTACAAGCCCCCAAGTAGCCCCACGAAGCCCCCAAGAGAGCCCCAAGAGGCCCCCAACAGGCCGCAAGGAAGCCCCAAGAGGCCCCCAAGATACCCCCAGGAAGCTCCCAGGAGGCCCCCAAGAGGCCAGGCATACCCCCCCAAGAGACCACCAAGAGGGCCCACCCAGAGCCATCCACGAGGCCTCCCAAAGTTCCCAAGAAACTCCCACGAAGCTTCCAAGGGCTCCCAAGACCCCCCAAGACCCCGCGATGGCACAATACGGGCCGGCGGAATGAGCGAAGCGATTCAATAAACTGCAACCGTTCCACGGAGTGATGGCGGGTCGTTTTCAAAATGTGGCTCTCGCTTTCGCGCCCCGTACATTCGTTTTCAAACATTGGAAGGATATCGCGGATTGATGGCGGTTGGTTTTCAAAATATGGCTCTCGCTTCAGAATCTCGCACGTTCGTTTCAGCTTTTTGCCAGAGCTTCACGCATTGAGGGCGGTGCCTTTTCAAAACGTGGCTGTCGCCTTAGCGCTGCGCACATTCGCTTTGAAACTTCAGCATGTTCATGCATTCCCATGATCAACGTACCAGAAATGGAGTTCTGGAAATATTCGCGAATGTGAGGGAGCAGCAGTTACAAAGACTCGCTGTGTTGAAGACTGGCTTTCCTGCAAGAGTCAGAGTCTTCGAGACGCAACAGTCAGGTTGATCCGTGGCGTTGAAATCCCGAGAACACTGATTTGGCATGCTTCAGGGTCGTCAAACGGTTGTCTTCCAACGAAGCAGGTCCCTCTGTGGAAATGAACCGTTGTAGGGGCCTACGAAGAGAGAGCTTGGGGTGAGGATGTATTCCAACATCGTTGGTGACTCTTGGGTTTACACTGGTCCTCCTCCTCCTCCTTCTCTTCCTCCTTCTCCCCCCCTCCACCTACCTCTTCTCCTCCTCCTCCTCCTCCTCGTCCTCGTCCTCCTGCTCCTCCTGCTCTTACTCCTCCTCCTCCTCCTCCTCATCATCATCATCATCATCCTTCTCCTCATCCTCCTACTCTTCATCCCCCTCCCCCTCTCCCTCCCCCTCCCCCTCTTCCGTCTCCTCATCCGCCTCCTCATCCTCCTCCCTCCACCAACCGCCCCATGTCCCGAGCCTGGGGCAGGGTCATCAGCTCGTTGTCGTTATCGTTGTCGTCATTGTCGTCGTCGTCCTTCTGGGTCGGCGGCACTGGCCGTAAGGCCTTCGCAACACAAATAGTACAAGGAGTCCAAGGGCTTGGCAGCGTTGGCCCAATTAGGCCACCAGACAGGTGGGCGCTGGTGGTTCGCCGTAGGCGTCTTTGATACGACCTGCGGTAGGCACACCAAACACGCGCCAATGCCTGGACTGAGCAAACACGAGCCAGCGCCGTGTACGTAGCGCAATCCTTCAAGCCATATTAGCAACCTCGAGTCCACTGGGGCCACTGGGGCAGAAAACACGACCGCCGACGACGAAATCGGTATCTAACGCAGAGCAACTCCTCCGGGGCTTCGGTGTCAGACCGAAGCATCGGATGGCGTTGGGTATGCCACATATTAGGATGGTAACAGATTTGATCATGGCGGCCCGCCGATAGGAACACTGTTGTGGCTGGGTCGCAGCGCTGGCATGGCAATCCTCACCACGGAGACCGCCAATTCAGCGGCGCAAGGCCAAACATATTCTGAGACCAAGCCGTCGGGCATCTTTCCGCCCGCGAGAGCAATTTCCCATGGTGTCTCCAATCGAGCTCTTGGAATACTGCTGAATAAACCTTCCAGGGGAAGAAAGCCAAGGCGCCCGCAATGCCGGGTTCTTGACGGTGTTCTCCACGGTCCCAACAGACGTGTAGCCTGGAGCAGACATTCAAGAAATGAGACTTAGATGGCAGGCAAGGACACCAATGGCAGACAGGGCGATTTAGGCGGTAAACACGGGACGCGTGTAGGTAAACAGATGCACCCCAACAGGCCAATATTACCGAAGACCTTGCGTGAGGGCAACAAAAGCAGCACGCGAACGTTGCACCAGGCAGCAACGAGATGGCCACACTGCACAACAGCACTTTGCCGAAGAGCCCCCAGGACCCCCAGAGCTAGACCGTGAAAACTTCGAGTGGGCGGGGCCATACGCGAGTCAAGGCGGGCACGGGGCCCTCGTCGTCGCTCGTAGAACGCATGTTCGCTGGGGAGGGCGAGGCGGTGGCCTTCGTCGTAAAGGATGCAATAGGGCAGGTCGAAGGCCCTCAAGAACATCCACACGTTCTTGTAGGACCACTCGAGGATGGGGTTGACCCTCGGCCAGCGCTGGGTTCAACACGGCAGAGGCGCGCCGAGAGCATCCCGGCACGCGAGGCCCAACCTATCCCGAACGATTCCGAGAATATGATGTTGCCCAGCTTGGACCCCACACAATGTGCTTGTAACAAGACATGTGGTGCTATCGATGTGGTGCAATATTTCGACGTTGTGCAATCTACGTGGTGGATTCTATGTGGTGCACACTGCGTGGTGCAGCCTGTGCGGTACAACGTATGGTGTGCAACCTACGTTGAGCAATATAAGTGGTGATGTGGTAAAGTACTGCGCGATGCAGCCCAAAGTGTGCAATCCATGTGGTGCAACCTTTGTTGTGCACGCCACGCGGTGCAACCTATCTCGTGCGCTCTATGTGGTGAAATTCGACTTGCCTTCCATGGGAATGTTAGCTCCGCAACGCGCGAAATTACCCGACCCACCCATCCGCGAAGTGGTTTGCACAACCCGTGCGGCTTCGACTGCGATGACTGATGGCGATGAATGTTTTTTGGGGGGGGTCGAGTTGCGCGCGCGGCTGACGCGGGCGAGTGGCCCGCATGCGATAATTTGACAGGGGTTGCCCCCTCCTCCCCTCTGGCAAGCGCGCAAGGTTTCGATTTTTCTTGAATAAAATAAAGACGACAGGTGGCTCTCATACAAACTGAAGAATTCGCGCGCGGATTCTTCCGCCAGAACCAAAAAACCGCAACACCTCTTGGGTGCATTCGTGTCCGGGGAATTCGGGATTGAAATCCGATGGTGCCCCAAAGAATCGGCATCCGCGCGCGGACACGCGCGCGTGTCGACTTTGTACCATATGTTGCAAGGGATTCCTGCACATGTAGAACGTCTATTGGATGGGGTGAACGATTCGGGCGATAACTGACTGGTTGTGATGGCATGGCTTCGCTGTTTGTAATGAACGCAAAACAGATTCTCATTGGGTTTACAATAACGGTCATTTCATATTATGTGGGCGGGATCAGGACTTCTTTTCAGAGGTGTAAAGATATATTGTGCACTATATGGCGTGCAAACTGTATTGCGCAATCGATGCTGCGCACTCGATGTGGTAAACGATTTGCGTGGCGCTGAATTTGTTGTGCAACCCACATGTTGCGACATACGCAGTGCAATATATGTTGTGCAATAAACGTGGACCAGTCTACGCGGTGCAATCTATGTGGAGCAACTCGCGCAGTGCAGATTTATGGTGTGCAGTGCACCCAATGCTCGCAATGAATGATCAACTCCACTGTTCGCGCAAACATCCCACCCACCCACCCGCAACTTGATGTGCAAAACCCACGCGACGGCGACTGCGATGAATGTTTGGCGTTGGCTGTTGCATCTCTGCGGTCGCGTTGGCCCGCGCATGCTCGCGCGCGCAGCGACCAGCTAGTGCGGCGCGACAGGCGCGGCCGCGGTGGCGCTGACCGCTGAGCACCTCCCACTGGGCACTACAATGCTAGTCCGTGACTTGGGCGGGCGCGGTATGATCGCGACGCCGACAACAATCAACGCGAAGATGAGGTATGACAGCGGCAAGGCTCATGACAGCGCCGATGTTGATCACGCCCGCCGGTAACGACGACGATGTCCTCGCGCCGGTGATGTAGCATTTGGAATGAGTTCGACGTGCGCGCGCGGCCGACGCGCGCGAGTGGCCCGCGTGGTGTTATTTGACACGGATCGTGCCCACGCATCACGTGCGCAAGGGCGCCCGGATGAGCTCGACATGCGGCCTAAGAGGCCCGCTTGGCAGAATTGGATGACCATGTTGATATTCCATGGCTTTCAGAATTCCGGAAAAAGGGCGCGCAGGTTTTTGTGTTTGATGCATGATGCTGGAAAACAGTTTTTTCCAATGTGTTCGGGGCACTCGTTTTCGAAACCCCTACGAAATCAAATGTTTTTGAAAGATTCTGGCGTTTGCGCGCGACGACGCTCGCGTGCGCAATTCGTCTGATGTGTTGCAAAAGGATTCTTGCGACAGCCGGTTTAGGCGGGCGCGCGAGGGGTCCCTGCGGTAGCACGCTATGAGAATGTTGAAACAACACCGCTCGGGTTCTGTCTCTTAACAATATACAAGACCGCGAGCGCAGGTGTTGTTTGAACATCCTTGTTGCGAAACCATATGTGTTTATACGTTTTTGTGGCACTCGATTACGGGTCCTTACGAAACCTAGATTTTTAGTGGTAAAAGAAGTGAGGTCGGCGTTAGCGCGCGACAAAGCGCGCACGACAAAGTTCGCGTGCGCACGTCGTCCCATTTTTTGCTTAGGGATGTTTGAAAACTACAAAGTTAGGAAATTTGATAAACGAATGCGCGCGCATAGGATTTCTTGCACAGGATAAAGGGTGGATGCCGGATCAGATGGAATGGTACGACCTCATATTTCGGATGGGCGATGAGGCAGAATCTTACGAGAATTGCAAATCGCCAAGGGGGCCGATAAGCTCCAGGGGGGGAGAGTAGATCCCAATACTCCTTTGGAAAGGAGGGGGAATCTAGGGCGGCGACAGGGCGGCGACAGGGCGGCGACGGCGACCGCGGAGCCGCCATACCGCCAGACAGGCTCAGACGACGCGCGGCGACGAGGCGGCGACGGGGCGGCATCGGCGGCCAAGGAGCCGCTGGACCGCCAGCCAGGCCCAATTCCGCATGACGAACTAATGAGAGCACCGAAATCCGCTCGGCGAAAAAACAACTACCCATCAACCAAAACGGCCAGCACCCCGTGCGAGGCAGAGATGTAACCATAAACAGACCACCCCTGGGGGATCGATTTTCGGAGACTCGCTAGGGCCCCCCCGGCCCGAACACATCCTCCTTCTCCGTCGCCTACCGAGCTCCCTCCCCGGGGGTCGATCCTCCACGCGGTGGTGGTTATGCAGAAATCCCCGCCTCGGGCTTCGGCAAACACCCGACCAACCACCCCGGCCCCGCCGGCCACCCCCAGAGAATACAACAAAAACTCTCCCGCCGGGACAGCACGTCCGACACGGCCTGCACTCCCCCAATGAGGACACCACGTCCGACACGGGAGCGATCCGAAGCTCGCTGAGAGTCGCCACGGTCACAGAGGTGGTTGCTCGTCTAATGTTCAACCACCTGGAGACCTCTACCCCGATGAACGGACCCGCCGGGTATCGACAGAAATCCCAGGCCTTGACATGCTTGTCCCACTTACGCGTGCACGTCAACATCGTCTGGTGGTGTGCTATCAAAGGACCGGTGGAGAGGCCGGGGTATGTAAGACCAAACCGCAACGGTCCAGACGGTAACAACGGTCGGGACGGCCAGCGCTAACCAACCGAAGAAAGAACGGCTCGCTCAAATTGGCCCTTCTGGGGGCCGACGCGGAACGACAAGAAGGCACGCTCGTCGAGTCGAGCGGGGCCGTGACGACGAAAACCCAACCCCCATGGCGGCCAACACGAGAACATTAAGAAATACACACTCCTCTCCCACCTCCCTCTCTACGGGTCTTTCTCCCTCCTCCCCTAAAGGCCTCCTGTATAAGGTCGGAGTGGATGTGGTCGGAGGGTCGCGCTGCATCGCCGATGCATCGGCGATGCATCGGCGATGTATCGGCGATGCATCGGCGATGCACTGGCGATGCATCTTCTATTATGTCGGCGATGCATTGGCGACGTCGACGTGAAGCAAATCGGGCCCTACATCCAGCCGCATCGGCGATGCATCGGGGATGTGGCGCGATCCTCTGACCCAATGAACTCCGACCCCATTTGGGATGCCTAGACCCCCTCTCTCTCTCTCTCCCCTCCCCCTCCCCTTCCCTCTTCGCAGAGGCACAGAGCTTGCTCACTCGCCGTGCGCGCCCCTCACGTGACGCACGCAAATCGCACTGCTATTTTTCCAGATCGTGCCCCGCCCGTCTTTGGGCCAATGTTTTGGGTTGACCGGGCCCATGCAGGCCCGATTACGCACTCCCGAGCGACCTGGCCCAGAGAGCGGAACTCTCGGAGTGCCGCGCGGACGTCTTCGGTTGGCGGTTGGGCTCTCGTTCTCACGCGGGGGTGCCAGCGCCAGCCCGAGAGATCCACGCGGCCCCTGGCATCCGCCGAGAAAGTCTCAGAAGTCTTCCCTGGGGGTGTGATAAAGGAAGGCACTCCCCCGATCCCCAAATTTCAGTGTTGGCACGCGCGGAGAAGACTGCGGTCGAAGTGCCACTCGATAAACCCACCGCCAACTTTGATCCTTGGGAGGGGGCATTGACAGATAAATGTGGTAGGCGTGCTCGCTAATCCCCTCAGCCCTTTGGGGCGTAAGGTGGTCTAGAACGTTTCCTCTTCCAACCCCCCTCTTCCCTTTCGGGGAAGGGTTGATCACTGTTCCCTATTGATAAACACCCCCGCCCCCACCTGGCCAGCAGCCAACCCAGAACCACGCGGGCCCCTCCCCCCACCATCCCTGTCAAAAAACAATACAACATGCACATTTCGGGGCCCACCCTGCAAACGCCCTCCACAATCCTTTTCAAAAAGCAATACGAAGTGCACATTGCAGCAACATCTGGACAGTGCGCTGGCGCCCTGTGGGAACGTTGTATTGTTTGTCGGCAAAAATGGCGGGGCACCCGTAAGGAAACCGATTTGTGCAAGACCACCATCCGTGTCAAAAACCGTGCAAATCGCACGATGCGACAACGTCGTGGGTATTGTGCTGGCCACCCGCGACAATTTACGGGCGCAGCCCGTACTTTGATTCTCGGGAGGTAGACAGACAGACAGACTGAACTGAACCGAACCACCAGGCCGTTAGATGGCAGTTATGTTTCCGCGGGTGAGGATATTTCGGTGGCAGTGTTAAGCCAACCGGTGATGGTATTTCGGTGGACATTTTCCGCCAGCGGGTGAGGATATTCCGGTGGCAGTTTCAAGCTAGCGGGTGTGGATATGTCGGTGGCAGTTTTATTTCCGCGGGTGAGGATATGTCGGTGGCAGTTTTAATTTAAGCCAGCGGGTGAGCAT